AAGAGGCTGAATCATGACGCAGCGCACCCCCCAGTATGTCTTTGCAATATCTTGAGAGCGGGCGAGATTCAACTACTAGCCTAGTTACCACACCGAGTATGACAGATGGGGAATGGAAACTACACGCGTGCTGCGAGCGAGGGTGGCGAATCTCGGCCCCTCCGCTTCAGACTCGCGCTTTGTGCCCCCCGAGCGTCACTTAAACATTAAGATGACGAATGTGCAAAAATTTATTACACATGCATGGGAAAATCAGAATCATCACTTTCCGAAGGATCAATCTTCAGGGTCTGTTGAGAATGGAAAATTAGCATAAAAATGTCCTTTTCAAATAAATTAACGCATCGATGAACGAAATTAAAAATTTATTTAAGTATAATTATATTTTTCTTGTGCAGGACAGAAGACCAAAGATTGAAGACAGAAGATAGAAGATTGAAAAAAGAAGATTAAAAATATGTAAGTATTAGTAAAAGTTGTATTTTTTATGCATGTAATATTTATTCTTATTGAGTGAAGGTGTAATTTTAGTTAGCCTGAAGTATTAGTGTAAAGTATTGGTCGGAATTTTTATTTCTCTTGGCCATAGAACACAAATCTCTAATTTAAATAAAATTTCTTAATGGTTGAGTTCAGATGGTCTAACGTGGCTAGTGAAGCTTAGTCTTTGCATCGTTATTTAACCAAACATCTAAAGCCAATTTTTAATAGAAGAGCTTAATTCTATAATTTTATATTTTTTAGACTGTTTCCAAATTATATTCTACCTGTAACTTATTTTTAGCTAGAAAATCGATTAAGTTGATTTTATTTTTCGACCAAAGCTTGTCGTTTTAATTTTTTATGCTAAACGCCAAACTGTTTTTTTTTTAAATGAACTGAAAATTTATTTCAAATATCAAGTAATCAATCAACAATAATCATTAACAATTGATGTTATGATGTATTCAATATTCAAGTAACTATTAAAATTGAGAATCAGCGCAGTTGCAATTTTTTTGGCGCTTTTTGGAATACATAAAATTGCAACAGAATATTCAAGATATAATATTAAGAATACATATTGCCTGAATACCCGAATGCAAATGTTTTCATGTACATTAATTAAGTAAAATATTTTCTTTTTTTACTTTATTTATATCTTAATATTTTTTTATTATAACAAAATAAATTGCTAAAAATTTGCCAAGTTTTTTTGGTTCTCTTCAACAAATTTAAATTCAACGGTTCAAGACATATCTCCATTTATTTTTATTTTCCTCTTCAAATCCTATATTTGTTTTTTATTTTCAATTATTTTGGTTCAAAATTAGGTTTAGTTTTGGCTCGAATGGCGGCCGCGTGTCGTGGCGGCGACCGATGGAGGCACTCGGCGCGCGCTGGCACTGACCAAGCGCCGTCAAAACCAACCGTTCGCTTTCTTTCTTGCTTTCTCCTTTGAGGGACGAAAGTGCAAACAATCGACTTTAATTCTGCTGGAAGCGATCAAGGGCTTAATTTGCACGTAATGCACGGCTGGGAGCTGCTTAAGATGGCATAAGGACCACTTGTATGGTTTGTGCTGACGTCGCTTCTTTCTGCAGTGACTTTTTCACATGCAAATTTCTTACTTTGCATTCTTTCGTTCTACACCCGCTGCCTTCTTTTAAAATGCATATGCAATGAAAATTTTGCGAAAGCAAATCTGCTTCAATTCAGGACAGATGGATGAATAAATTTTATATGAACAACCCAACAGCTTAAAATTGTTTCAATTAATATTATATATATGATAAGGAGCCAGATATCCATGATTGATTTTTTTAAACGTGTAGTTAATTACTCAAAAAAAAAAATAAATAAATAAATAAATAAAATAAAATAAAAGAAATAGAAAGGTCGGTAAGACTCGAAACGTAATTTTGAAAAAAAGCAAAAAATAAAGGCATTCGACGCAATTTAATGAAAAATAACACTGACGAGGAACAATATTATTATTATTTATTCTTCTCAGTGTATACAAAAAAGTTAAAATTGGAAAAAGAAAAAAAAATTGTTTACCTCGATGCATTTTTTAATCTTTAAATCTAAATGTTGCTTTCATGTAATCCAAAATATATAAAATAAACGTCGTTGAAATCATACTTCATAAAATTGCACAGTATTCAATTAGTGCATCTCTTAAATATTAAAATTTAATAAACTCATTTCCTTAATTTTGTTATGTTTTCAAAACTTGAATGTGATGTAAAAATGGGGCTAATTATAAACAACGTTATTAACGTTACAATAAACAACAGGAATATATTAAAGATGAACATGCAGCAGAATTAATAAGAAAAAAAAAGCAAAATACTCCATATAAGAAATCCAGAGTTGTGCTTTCTGAATTTATAAAATAAAATTATTGCTTTTTTTCCGGATGAATGAAATTAAGAAAACGATGAAATTTTATTTGGTATATTGTATTAGCCACAGACGTAAATTTGTAACTTTTATGTTCACCAATTGTTTCATTCAGCTATTTGTAGTAATTATTATTCAAATAGCACCATTATATTATCATTAGAATTTTAAATTTGGAAAAAGTTTATATAATAATCATTTGAAGTACACACAAAAAACTTTTTTAATTTCACTTCTCACATAACGAGTGTGTAATTTTTTTAATCGATAATTCTTAATACAAGGTTTTCCTTTTACTCGGAAACTTTCTAAGAGCACTCGGCGAAATTTATTGCTTTGCATCATTAGCCGAAGAATTGGCGGCGGGGATAATTCGACGTGTTCGTGTGGCGGTGCTTCAAGTAAAAAACACGCGTTGTTTCCAAGTCTGAGCGCGCCGAGTTGATTGCAAAGTTCAATTCTGGCCCCGACGGTTGTTGTTACGCCAAGATCAATAACGCGAGAGCGCTTTCAATAAAAGTCGTGACTTCCTAATCTAGCGCACCCCTTGCCTTCCGCCCGCCCGCCGCCCCCGACTTAATGACCGGGTCACGATTTTTCGCAACTCGAAGAAGCAAAACTTTGCCTCCCCTGGCACTGGCCGGCAGAAATAATATTCAACGAAGGGGTGCAAATAAACCTTCGTTCGTTTAAAATTATATTTAGAATAGGAAAAAATATAATGAATCTCATTTTGGAATTATTGTATGAGAACGCGATGATTTTGTTGTCTTTCTTGGGCAAGCCGCGTTATTGGTCGATCGCATGCGAGTGCAAATAATAATAACCAGCGAGAGAGAGAAAAAGAGATAACACGGTCGGACAGTGCAACTTACTGCTGATACCATCTCTCCTCCTAATGGCCTCTGGAATAAGTAGTTTACACGCAACTCTAATCGCTCTCGGCCTGTTTCGATTTCAGAGGATGAAAATTAGTATCCAAAAATCGCCCCGAATTCCACTATGAAATTTAATTTATTTCAAATTTCAGGCTTTTTAGTCGACCTGAGTCTTTAAAATTTAATATATTGCTATTTAAGTATGTATAAATTAACTTTTAATTCACAGATGATAATTAAATTGAATTTAATTAATTGAGGTGGATTTCATGAAAAATTGAAACCGGGAAAACCTCGTTGCATAGAAAAAATGAATAAATAAAAAGGAAAATTGACGTCAAAAATTAGACTTGCGGACTGTTGGTACTTAAAAACCGTGGAGGTTATTTGTGTTAAAACTAAAACAAACTGGGAAGAACACACAAAAATATTAAAAAAAAAAATAATTAATACACAAAAATTGCAGAAATTAATTGAGCAACTGAGTCAGTTAATAGCTGCATATTTCCCTGAAAATTTTTTTTGTAAGGCCAAGACAAAGTGTCTTATTGGCCTTTGCCCTTCTTTGAGCTCACGGGAGGCTCATTTATTTGGGTTTTTGTTTTCATTTTTTATTTGATCTTTTTTATCACTATCACCAATTAAACATCATTAATTAAAATAAATCATTACATTAATTATTCTCATTTTATTTTAAATTTTTTATCAATTCCTCCAACTTTTAGTTTTAGTTTGTTTGTACACAACAAAACCCTCGGTTTTCAAAGTACCAGCAGACCGCAGATCGCCTTTTGGGGTCAGTTGTCCTTTTTTTTTTTACTTTGCAACGAGGTTTGTCTGGTTAAATTTTTGATCATAATTAAATGTCAATAATTTACAAAAAAAATACAATTTGAGATAACACTATAATACATTTGAATCGGAACATACCATTTCATAAAGACAGCAGTACTATTATTTTAAATTTTAAAATGTTTTTAAAATGTTTAATTAAAAATTATGATATTAAAAAATTAAAAATAAATTTTAATAATTCATGCCATTCATTTAATTTGTTGGTTAATTAATTTGGCCTAACAAAATGTGCAATTTTTAAATGACGTACATTCTATTTTCTCGTTGTATTTTAATGTTAATTATTGCTACTTATCTATTCTCTGTCACCTCATCATGAGTCAAACTGTTTTTGGGAAGTTTTGGTAATTACCTATAAATTCTCAAACATCATTTTTTTAGTGTCATTTTCTTCAAACAAAAATCATCTTTATTTTTAGTTCGGCGACAAACATAAAAAAAATATAACTAAAAAATTTCATTCAAAATTAAAAATCTATATAAAAAAACAGGCATTTTTCTTTGTTAGGAAACTGTTTTTACTCCTGTGAGTTTCAAATTCACTTGATTGATCAACGTCTCCTCGCAACATTTAGGATAAAAGATAAATTAACGGAAAGGTCGAAAATTGAATGGGCGAGAGAAAAATTGAAGAGAAAAGAGAAACACGTGGACAATTGGGTCTTGGAAGGGTTCAGCATCGTAAGCCGAGAGAATAATTATGTAAATTGAAAAGATAATGAGCACAAATTTAAATAATGCTATGAGTACGAAAAGGTGGTTTTATTGGGTGGTGCCGTCTGTACCACCAATAAAGGGCACAGGCCGACAAGACTTTGTCTTGGCCTGACCCTAAAAAAAAAAAAAAAAATAAAAAATTACATAAAAAAACACACTCTCTACCTTTGAGGCGCAGTGATGTCCTTGGATGGCCTGGATTGGAGCCTGGATGTGATGGGGTGTCCTCGAAAGTTCAAGCGAAATCCATTGTCTGCACAAATTCGGCGACATGCGGGCCGCCGAAGTGCCGAAACGCGACATTGTTCTCGTCTCACTCGAATCACACATAAAAACTATGATTACAGAATGAACAAGAATGAACAATTTTCTTTGCTCCTTCCCTCCCTCTGGTGGGCTTGAATACGACGAAAAATTCCTCATCCAAATCAAGGTCGCCTCTTGGTCGCCACAAGCAGCTGGCGGCGGAAGGAGGATGGGAGAAATTCCTTCCTTCCTAATGCCAAGTCGCTTTTGGTTTCTCCAACTGGCAAAGGAATTCGCATATGTACAAAAATAAAATTCCTCTGCAATTGAATCTTGCTTCAACAAGGGTTCGATTTGTATGCATAAAATAAAAAATTGAATATTTAACTGTTACTTTTAAGGAATGCGAATATACACGTGTTGACCTGAATAAGACATCTGCTGATTTAATTATTCTTTTCTGAAAAACAATTAAATTGTAAATATTGCTTGGTTTTAGTTGCGTATTTGCGTAATAATTATCAGAATTTGGTGCAATTGCATTAAAATAAAAAGGAATTCGTGGATCTGTCGTGGATGAAAAAATTAAGAAATAGATTATATGTTTTAATGTGATTCAGAATTTTTTCAACGCTTGACAATTAATTATTGTCTTGTTTAATTTATAAAAGTAGATTGATTGTAAGTGAAACGGAAGAAAGCAGGGCGAATTTAATTTTCATGGAACGGTGTTGCAAATAGAAACAAATTAAATTAATACATACTTATTTCATAGTTTTGCATGCATCGTCTTTTCTATCCTGGTATTTTGAGATTTCGGTTCATTCAATTTTTCATTATAATTTTTAGAAAGTATATTGAAAATTTAATTCCTCTTTAAGCAATAGTTACATTTTTTTTTTAATTTTAGTTTTTAATTACACATAATTACATATATATGCTCTTATTTGTTATTCTACATTTTTGGTAATTTTTTTCAAGTTTTATATAATTTAAATTACATTACAGGAATTTTTTCTGATATTTCAGAACAGCATGTACATAAATAATTTAAATCAGCTCGATGTCTGATATATATCTGATTGCTTGGACGTTCTAGTGGCACGAAAGGAAACGGCCTAATTGGCTAATCGCAGTGACAATAAGCGGCCGCTGATTGAATCATTGGCACACCTGTGGCGCACAAAATCTTGGCCGTGCGGTCTGCAGTGCATTTAGAAAGCAGAATAATAATAATAACAATCTGTCTCTCTTTCCGGAACCCCACCTAAGCTTCCGGACACGCAAGCCCCGTGCCGAGGCGCCTTGCAAGGCACTGAAAATAAAGGGTTGCAAAGCAAAGCAACTAAAAAAAAACAATGGTTTGCACGAGCGCGTGTGTTGCCTTAAAAATGCAAAACATTAAGTAAAATAAAAAAATTAAAGAAATGTATGAAATTTAATTGATAAATTATATTTGCAAAATTGATTATAAAAGATGGAGGGATAATTTATCTTTAATTTTCCGCTACGAAAAATCTGATTTTGTGGAGAAACTTTAATGAATCTAATCATTACAAATTAAATTTTTTTCCCCTAAAGTTTTTTTCGTTAAAATCATCGACAAATTATAATATATGGCCATTTGTTGTATATATTTTATAATTAAATAAGACCTTTCAGATGAAGGGGACGTTTTAATTTGAATGTGCAGGGGAGTTGCATTTATTATTGAGGAAAAGGGCTGGAAGGGCGTTTTCTCTGCGGCGATCACGCGCCCGTGGCGGTCAAACAACATGCAGAGCAGTTGCTAAGAGCTGGAAAAATAAACACATCAGCGGGCAGGTAATTTTTCTTTGTCCATTTCCATGGAATGAAGCCTTCACTTATCTTTATGACGATTTAGGCCATTAAGCACGCGGAAAAAACGCAACAAGATTTCTAAATTTATAATTCATGTGTGTCCGTCCGAATGGGTGCTACGGTGAAAAAAAAATGCGCCGTGACTTTTCTATCTGTCACACTACTTTCCGTGCAGGGTAGATAGGGTGGTTCACGCACGCACGGTGTCTCTCTGTGTCTTATTAGCTGGGGTGAAAAGACACACACGACACCACCCGGCGTTGTCTGATGACGTGCGATACCTGTTGGCCATCATGCAACCACGATCTTATCAGCCGCAAAATAAGGCGAGAGATCCGTGTGTGTGTGTAAAAAAAAATATGGTTTTATGTCGTGCGCGCGTTATTAGCGTCTGATCTGGGCTACAAGATAAGGCGAATAATCAGCTTTTAGAAAAAATAAGGGCGAGGGTGTCTGACAACGGAAAGAGCTAATGACACACCGACTGATATCGTCCTTTGTTCAATTTTTTTTGTTATTCCTTGAACAGATATAAACGTGAGTCAGTATTTATTTCCACATTTGGGCCATTAGTTTTTATTTTTTAATATTTAGCCCTTTTTAATGCTGATTCAGTGATCTTTTAATTTTTGTTGAGTATTTTTATTTGTAAGAACATACAATTTTTTTTTATTATTATTCTTAAATCCATTTTAGAAACCAAACTCTTTTTAAATATGTGCAAATTGTTCAATTTTATTGTAGAAATTCAAGATTGAGGGTTGATTCATGGTGATTTGAATTTAAAGTCGGCTTTACCTCGATGGGTTTTCGTGAGTTGTTTATTGTTTAAGAAAAACAATATCCTGCTCTACATGTTTCGGCTGCGGGCTGCTGTCCAAAAAATGTTTTTAAATAATTTTGTACTAATTCTTGTCAAAATGATTTCACAGCTCATGAATTATGGCTGCAGCCCGCAGCTGGAACATATATTATAGAGCAAGATAATGTTTTTCTTAAACAATAAACAACTCACAAAAATCCATCGGAAAGGCCAACTTTAAATTCAAATCACCATGCTAAATTTGACTTTGTACAATTTAAAACATTTTTTTTTTTATTATTATTTAGATATAACATAAAACATCCTGATTATATAAAAAAATCATGAATTAATCATAAGTGATTTTTTTTCAATACGATACGATTCGAAAAAAAATGCTCATATGTTTGTTTTTGAATAAAAATTCCATATAATTTTATTTTAAAATTTTATTATAATATCCAAAAGAAGCAAATTTCTGATACTATCCTTTGAAAAAAGTGCATAACGAATTGATGGGCGAAATGTCGGAAGGACACAAACTTTTTTTGCCAGCAATGATCAACTTGAGAGCCTCTCTCGCGCTCCACTTCTTAATGCACAACATCCATCCTCTTTTCGATGCACTTTACATATTTTTTGTCACTATATGTGCGGCGAGCACTAAACGCGTCGTGCACATCTCAAGTAAGCAATCCGCGAAATAAAGCTGAAAGTACATACACTTGAAATGAACAGCTCGCGGTATCAGCCGTGCAAGCTCTCATTCATATTCACTTTTGCCGCGCGCCACACAATAATAAGATCTGCAAAGATGAGCGCGGGGAAAGTCGAGGTGAATTTCAAACGCGCGTGAAAATAATGCGGTTTCGGATTTTTGTTTCAAAGCATATTTGCGCTCCGTGTGTGTTTCTAGAAGAGAATTCTTGCAACCCGCCACGCACACAGCTTAGTTTCAAAGCTCATAAAACTGTAATTATGCCATATAGTGAGGGGTGACTTGCAAAGGCGACGAAACTTGCCACAATTCATTGCTTTGAATTTTATAGAACTCAAACTGCAATAATTTCTTAATAATATTTTTGGAAATTCAAACTAGTCATTCAATTTTTCTTAATTCCTAACCTAATATAATTTTTTTTCCATTTTCTTATTAAACACAGAAAAATGTAAGTTATTAAACTTATGATTTTTTAAACTTTTTGACTCCCTTAGAAGTTTTAATGCAATTTTTAATAAATCGTTGCGAGAAGGAGTAATATTTATTAAAAATAATGTAGCACTTATTAAAATTGATGAAAAATTCTCATGGTAAAAAAATTGGAACTTTTCAATCAATTTCGTTGATTAAAATATATGAAAATGTTATTTTTCAAAATAATTTTCTGCAATTAAACAAAATTTCTTTATTTTTCCCCTTCAAATCTAGTTAAATTAAAATAAAATTTTAAATTAATGCATCTAAATGTCTGATGCAAGTTGAGATGAATTCAAAATCTCTCTTTTTGTCTTGCCGTAATTCTCATTTGAAAATGAGAATCGAAGGGATTTGGCCGGCTGTGCAAATTTTCTGCCAGGTGCCGTCTCGCGCGTCTTGCCGTGTTTGCACCGCGACTTACTCTGCTCTCAACCCTCGAAAGTCCCCTCGAGTGAACGGCAGGTATGCATTCCGCACGACCGAGTGCCGACGCCGGTGGCATAAGTCGCAGGTAACCATCTGCTGTTTGGTGACGCAAGGAGCCGATCGTGGCAAGGCAGATGTCAAGGGTTCTCATCTCCTGCTTATCATCTGCACACACACGACCACCCCCTTCGCCCCATCGCACAATATCACCTCGTTTTCTATGTGTTTTTGATAAGAAAAAATGCGTATTATAAATACGACGATTGAGGAACAGCTGCTTGCACGCGTGCCCTACACGCTGTTCAATAGGACAAGACTTAAGAGCTAGCGGCGCAAATCAATGCATTGACCCCAAGTGCACGATCATACTGCACTTTTTTATGCTTTTTTATACCGAAGAGTTTTCAAAATTTAAGTATTTTCATCGTATTCAATTAATCATCTTACTGGTCTTATTAAATGTAATATAAAAAGCTTTCATTAACTTGAACAAATTGAACAATACTGTAATTTTGCTAGCAATCAAACAATTGTCATATTGCATTTTGCGGGTTTCTTCAAAAATTTGAACTGATAAATTATTGTGTAATGTAACTATGCGTGTCTGAAACCTCGCCGATATGGGCCAATTCCAACCAACGAGAGGAGTAGCGGAAGGACAGGAAGCAAATATTTTATCTCTGGGAAAGTCAAACGAAGGATGGCGAGATACAGTTTGGAATGAAATTAAGCTGACATTTCTTGGTCCTTTTAAATGAAGGTATGCTTGCTCATCAACTAGTGGGAGTCTGAAAGCTTGATTAATTAGTCAAA